CTAGAGTGAATTAGTCTTCTACGATTTGGAGACATTTTAAGAACAGAGACATCCTTAAAATGTATGCAAATCGTAGAAGACTAATTCACTCTAGAATATTTGTCTACAGTTATGAGCAGTTACAGTTATACAGTTACGACAGTTACAGTTTTACAGTTAACTGTAACTGGTGCATGCCTAAGTTTCGATGATTCGTACAATCAGAGAAGAGAAAACTGCAAATTTCAGTGATATATATACATATATCAGTCATGATTGCATAAAAGGATGAATGAAACAGCCATTTTAAATATCAGTTTTTTCGCTGTATATTTATTTTGCAATTTTCTTTTTTTCTTTTTTTTTATATTAACTTTATTCAAAATAATAATACAAGTAAGAACATAGCCGAGCTATTGCTCATTATAACATTCTTAGTTGGCGAGAGGGTAGAGGAACGGTGACGCAAATCTGAGGGAATTCGATTGTATAAAGTAAAAATAATGGATAGGTTTGGCAAGTGATGAACCAACCATTTAAAGCGATTTGTTTCTATCATGTATTTTGTTGTTCTCTTGTATTTTATTGGATAAAACCACAAAGTGCTAGAGAAAACATTTTTTTTGACTCTCTACGTGTGAGAAAAGATGAAGTTTTTACCATAATGGCGACTTTGTCTATGTACAGATGTCGTGACCAGCGGGGACCTTGCCGATGACATCCACTCAATATTTCAGAAGTTTATGCTTTCTTTTTCCAGCAAAAGAGAAAGTGAAGGACTTTACTTTAACGGTTTGCAGATTCATTGACTTTCATCTAAAAGTCTGAAGAGCACGACGTCCTTGCGTCTACGGCTACCATTAAAAAAAAGAGGACTAGACGTCGTCCACATTGGAGAGCTGTCTAAAATATTATTCTTTAGTCGGTGCCTGCTTTTCTTCGGATGAGCGTTTGTGGTTTTCAGAGTACGCTTTGAATTAAATTCGACTGCAAACGCAGTTTCTTTGTGCACGTAATATATGTCCAGCCGTCCATAAATTCTTTGTGATGGCATTCTGGGTCATGTCTCTCTTCAAAATAAAATGTTTCTGATTATCGAGTTCATATAAGTTCTTATGAAAAAACTCGTTCTATAACAGGTGTTCAGGGCAAATAGCAAAACAAAATCTTTTGCTTATAAACATCGAATAATCATGTGGCGAGAAAATATAAATTCCTCGTATAGGATATGAAAAAAATAAATAAAATATAACGTATTTATTTAACTGTGATACAAGAACAGATGACAACAACAGAGGTAAGCAGAAAAATAATTGAATGACAACCGATTATTGCTTCACTCATATAGTCAAAAAGAAAAAAGGGCGAAGAATGACGGACGAAATAAGGTAGGTTTAAGCCTTCGATAATCTGTTGTATATTTTATTTAGTTGCTCACGACCTCGAGAACAATCACATTAACGACTCATTTTTAATGAATTTGTAACTGATCATTAAAGAACATTTTTTAGCCATATGACAAAATTGTTTCGGCGTTTTTATGAGGAATGTATTTATTAATATCTAGAAGTAACAGTTTCAAAATAGGCATTCAATTATCTTCTAGAAAATCTTTTTAGGCACAGTTTTTTTGAACATACAGTTAACAGACCATTCACGTGTTATTAAATATCAATTGTATCTGACCTAGGTGGTTTCTCGTACTAATTCTAACACGTCTCAAATCAGTTAATCAATTAACGTTCAATATTGTTGACAAAAATATTTCTATTTTTTGAGTACATTGGCTTCGGGTTAAATCACGATTGAGGGAGTCAGATGAAGTCTTCAAATCTTGTTACGTTATTACAGAATTTTGTTCATTTAAAGTACTATCAATGAAAGACTAATGTTGTATTTTGACAGTTTGGGATTAGAATGATATAATACGATTCTCAAGGCGGTGTCTTATCACGACATTTTATGTTGTTATACTACTTATTTTTAGAATTTTTTATTTTTAACAGCATCGTATTTTCATAACGACTATCTCTGTCAGTACTCTCTACAATTATTACCTTGTGGATGCCCTGCAATTCTAGTTCAATCCAGACGTCTGATTCTAATAGTTAGTCAACTATACATGTGTATTCGATAAAATAAATATAAAGGCAAGAATAGTGACTAGTCACATTGGTAAGCATTCGTAATACGCTTTTCTTGTTTAAGTTAAAAGAAAAAAAAGAAAATTTTTCAATTTTTCAGCGTCTCCCGTGTCGGTCTTGTTTACTGATAAGTCGTAAAATTTTAACAGATTTTAAACTGGCTTGGGTATAACTCAAGTTATATTTATGTCCAGGTCATTCGTAAACTTAAAACTATTCCCATTCAAGTATTTAGAGAATAGAACAAGATACATTGCTGTTTAGGTTCGCATGTTAATACTTTTGTTCATATGAAATTACAAAGCGAAACGACTAGGAAACTCCTTTTTCAGAAGAAAACTGGTTTTATATAACTAATTAAGATGAGAATAGATAAAAAACTTTTAATTTGCAAACTTATTCTGCATACTCGCAGCATCTTCAAATTTTATTCAAATATAATACGCAGATCCAAATATTATTCTGATATGTTTTAATTGATAAATAAGCTCAAGATTCAAAAAGCAGAAAAATCTACACCTAATTATGCAAATAATTATTTAAATAATCCGCTAACGGTATCATATTTTTAGTATAAACTTGATTGAAAAGACGGAAAGATAACAAATAAAATCGAGAAGCAAAGGCGAAAGCGGAGAGAAGCGTCAGGCCAAAATATAATTTTTTTAATTTGTCCGATCTGATTATATCCTTTACTTTTTGTCGGTTCTGTAGATCAAATTCTAATTTGGAATATTTGTTTAGATTAACGCAGTTTTCAAAAAATGGCACATTTCCGTTGTTTTCAAGTCCGTAAGTTTTACAAAAAGACACTTGTTTTTCTGCACAGAAAAAGAATTGCAATTGGAGTAATTATAAAATTGTATATTTTGGAGTTAAGAACAAATGATACAAAGTAGTTTTGCTCATTTCTTATTAATAGCTCTACTCGATATTTATTTTGGTTAATAATTTTTTTCTTCTGATGTTATCTCTTAGACAAAATGAAACTCGATTAAAACTATTGAAATGCCTTCGCTTTAAACGTATCAATTTAGAAGAAAATTCGCAAAAACGAATATTACTAAAAAATGGTGATGTGAATATTGGAAGGTAAGAGAAAATACATATTGTTCACAGATCTCTTATAAAATCAATGATATATACAGGGAGAATGTCCTCCTTTCATATCATGAAACCTGAATCTTAACTGTTCTCCATTGCTGTTTATCATTTTTGTTTTAGACATCATAGAAAAAAGCGCAATAGTCGCTATTTACATGATCTTTTTACGACACTCATTGATTTATCATGGCATTGGATGTCGTGTATATTTGTCATGAGTTTTGTTTCAAGTTGGCTTATATTTGCATGCATTTGGTATATTGTCATGGCTGCCTATGGTGATTTGAAATCGAGTAGTTTGACAAATGCAAATTATACAGCCTGTATCGTTGGTGTACATTCATATGTCGGCGTCCTCCTATTTTCCATTGAAACTCAACAGACAATTGGTTATGGTACACGATCAATAAATGAAAATTGTTATTTTGGCGTAATTTTGGTAATGGTTCAATCAACTGTTGGTGTCATGATACAAAGTTTCGTTGTTGGTCTTGTTTTATCAAAAATATCTCGTCCACGATTACGAGCTGAAACTCTACTATGGTCACGTAAAGCTGTTGTGTGTCTGAGAGATGGACTAATGACATTCCAATGTCGTGTGGGTGATATGCGAAAATCACATATTGTCGAGGCACATGTTCGAATGTATATGATTAAAAAGCGAACGACGAAAGAAGGCGAAATAATTCCTTTAGATACCTATGATATGAACGTTGGCTATAATAGTGGAGCAGATCGTTTGTTTCTTATTCGACCATTGATTATTCAACATATTATAAATGAACAATCACCTCTATGGGACGTGGGACGAGATGATCTTATGAAAGAACGTTTTGAAATTGTTGTTCTATTAGAAGGAGTTGTTGAAGCAACCGGAATGACAACTCAAACACGTGTATCATATTTGCCATCAGAAATCTTGTGGGGTTACCGATTTGAACGATTAGTGTCATTCCGAAAAGATCAAGGACAATATCGTGTGGATTATGCGAAATTTCATCAGACCTATCCCATTCAAACGCCCATTTGTAGTGCAAAAGAATTAAGCGAAGAAACAATGGTTTAAATTCAAAATAACTATCCAAACAAAAGAAATATAAGATTTCTGAAATTTCTGGATCACAATAGCATGAAAGAATTAAACTTTTATAAAAATTTATAGTTTTTTCGACAAGTGCCGAATGATTTTTCATGAAATGAACAGTTATTCCTGTATCCAGATGATAGTCTACCGGTTACAGATTTTGCTTTGCATCTTCTGCTTATTCAAAAATTGTGTATAGATATTTTCAGTTTCTGTGGAATACACTATTAGGTTGAAAAGAAAAGGTTAATTAAATACAGTTTAAGTTTCTGAAATTAATAATACGAAGTTTTTAATGATCTGTTGTTAAATATAAAAATTTACTTCAATAAATAATGTTATTTTAAACCTTTCTCAAAGCCTTTTTGTTGGCTCTCTATTGACTATTAGAATAAATGGTTAAATGTATGGACGCCGCTCAGCATTCTATCCCTATGATTTTTTAATGTCAAAGCCTGTAAGAACTTACTCGCACTGTGAAACTTGAGAAGTCTTATTAAGTCGGCTGAGTGAAACACATGGAGACTTATTGCTTTTCACCCAAAAAATTCTTGTTGTTGAAAATGAGAAAAACGTATGTTATACCCACTGGTATGAGAACGATAATATATTTATTAAAAAAGATAACAATAGGACTTAAAATTCGAGAGAGACTTAAATAGTAAAGAAATTTATTCTTATCAACACAAAAAGTTTCTTATTCCTTTTGTTAAAAATGGGTTTGATCAACATTTTTGTACATTTTTTGTTTTGTATTCAACATTTTCTCGATTTAGTGGTAGGTCTTGCGCTGCCTTGCTGCTTATCTTTTAATGCTAAAATATAATTTTCTTCTTCAAATCGAGAAAATGTTGGATACAAAACATTTGAGTGATCAAATCCATTTTTAACAAAAGGAATAAGAAATTTTTTATGTTGATAAGAATAAATTTCTTTACTATTTAAGTCTCAACAGTACATCCGATAGAGCGATGCCGACTATGTATAAAAACCATACTTTCCCGACCGCTACTACCATTGTGCTCGAGTAACAGGACGGATTTGGATCTGCTCTACATTTCTGTCCACTTGAAAAAACTTTAACCATCTTAGATGAGCCTTCTTTTACACCAGGTCGACTTTTCGAACGAAAAAAGTATTCGAACACTTTCTTTTACTTATGGTTTTTGACATTTCTCAAATGGTGACGAATCTCTCAAATATACCATTTGAAAGAGCAAAGTCTCAGCTTTCTAATGATACAAGAATAATTAAAAGTGTTCTCTAAAGGTCACAAAATTGAAAATTACGGATACCACCATGAAATTAATTTAAGACGCACTCTTTGTCTGTTAAACTTGATTAAAACTCAATCCTAAATATACCATTAGAAAGAGCGCGAAAAATTATATCAGAAACAATTGTTTACTTTTTTTTCTGCTGATTTTAATTGATTTTCTAACTGCTCCCGTCATTATCGTTGGGTGACATCTATTATATTTTGCATGTTTTTGCCTTAAATTTACTCTCTAATTTTGTTTTCTGACCTAACGGGCTGAAAGAACACAAATTTCGAGTTGAATACTTACATTTTTCCAATAACAGGTCTTCAGCCTCTCATGTGAGACAATGTTCTACTTAGAATATTCTCAAATCTCTCCCTCTTAGGGTATATAAAAAGTATAAAAAGTATAATAAACACCATCATAACAATCCCAAGTTGCACATGACTGACTCAGTAGTGAGTCGTGACACTTTATCAAGTTTATCGAATCTTTTATCTCGAGTCCGAGTCACAGAAAAATGCGACTGGAGTCCGAGGCACGAGTCGTGCCTCGGACTCGCCTATCTCTGGTGTCACGTACGATGACGATGTAAATAACTGAGAGAATGCACGTTCACGCTTCAGTTAAATACTTCACGCGTGTCAACTTATCCTTTCCAGTGTGAACACAAATAATAACTGATTTTCACGAATTGCTACGAATGATGACATGCATTTGCTTCATGTTCGTACGCGAAAGAAAGTGTGCCGTGGAGGGTATCAAAATTTTCACATGGGGAGTCACTCTGCACTGTTCATACTGAATGTATATGAAGTGTCACGTGACAGTTAATTATCTCATAGAAAAGTTATTGAAAATCTAGAAGAAAGAAGAATTTTTTGTAGTGAAAAAGAATAAGTCGCTCCGAGTTTCACTCTGTTGGCTTAAAGATTTCTCTTCGGGAACATAATGCTTCAATTCTGCTTTAGAAAAGCTAAAAAGCAGACGTAAACTGCAAAAGGTTTAAATATAAAAGTGGTCGTTGTATACACTATACAACAAGTGGCTGATTCGAAGCAGAATGTAGGCCTAGAAGAAAGAAGATTGGAAAGTCGAGTGAGTGAAACGGTAAACAGACGAAATTAGAGCATCCAGACAGTCAGAACAGTTTGACTTATTTTCAAAAAGATAATGTTCAGTACGAATTGGACATTCATGTAGTGTTTGATATGATGAAAGCTATAGCAGATGTATGATATGACAGAGTATTTCGTGACGCATCTTTTAAAAAGAATACTAACTGTGAGATACTAAAGGAACACGAGAAAAATAGGAAATACTGAGAGGCTCATTCATTATGATGCACTCGATAAAAAGTTCCATAATTCTACAGCCAATAATCGTCATACGAAATATCAATTATACTCAGCAAACCCAGTATGATGAGCATTAATTTGGTATATAATTCATTTTTATATCATTTGTAGTTTGAGCTCTATCCCTCTGCAAAACCATTTTTGCCAACCCTGTACAAAAGTAACCTGCCTGATTTCGATAAAACTAGAGAAATTAATAATTCAGCAGTGCTGCTTATGTAAGGAACTCAAACGATGTCTAAAATGTTGCTAAGAAACGTTTCACTCGGTCGGCTTTCCACTCTATAAAGTTAAATTAAATAGTAATCCAGTTATTTTTTTCCTGTAACTTGGTCTGTTAGCTTAGTTTTGTCGGAAACTACAACAGGTAAAACGCTGCTTCTACCGTAGGTGTCGCAGAGTAGAAAATCTTATATAATTTTTATATCATATCACCGATAAAAAAAAATTAAAGTTTGTTTAGAGTTAAAGAAAAGTGCTTTTTCGTATTCAGCACACTTGATAACCTGGAAAATTTTCTATTTTTAGCGAATGGTACCGTCAAAAAGTTAAGAAAAATTTTTAAACAAATTGACGCAGAAAAATCCCCATAGTAAAATTAAACAATTTTAAAAAATTTTCTTAACTTTTTGGCAGTACCCCTCGCTAAGAATAGAAAATTTTTGAAGTTATCAAATGTGCTGAATACGAAAAAGCACTTTGCTTTAACTCTAAATGAACTTTAATTTTTTGTCGGTGATATGAATTTTTCTCTTATTTGTGCTGAAAATACTACCAATGGTTTCAACAATCGCGTTTTGAACATCAGCGTAAAATATAATTGATAGATCTATTTTCTTACAGCGTATTACAAGAGTTTTTGGAAAAGGTGAGACCTTTTCCGGTGAGCAAGATGGTGACGATTAATGGATTGTATAAATGTCATATATGTTGTATACGTCATTTTCAGCATGAAAACACAAGATATTCCTTTAGAAACAAATTTTTTGTATAGTTAGTTTAATTTATTTAACGAGGATTGTAATATACAAAAAAAAAACTTTTCCTGTCTACATATAACAATAAAATAGAGTAGCACAAGAAGTAAAGAGTGTTAAGTGAATCTTTCAGTGTCAACGATGTATTTATGGACATTATTTACGATAAGGATGTTTTGTTCTGGGATGAGATTGAGTGACCCTTTTAGAATGAGTTCAGTAGTTTGTGGTAATGTGATAATCGATTTTATATTATTCAATAAGATAGATCTTTCCTGGACAAAACGAAGCCATTTTAATAAGTAATGCCCAGCCGTTTCAGGCTTATTACAATGACTGCAGTTTGATGAAGTGACGTTATATTGGTCTGCTAATAGAAAGCTAAAGCCAGCGTATACGGGTCAGATGGATAATATTTATCCGACTTCCTCCATTGTACCAAACTGGTGGCCGAGATAGAAAACTTAGGAATCTTTTCAATTTTATAGAGAAGTCCTCAGTATCTGTGATACACATCGCATTTCGTAGGGCAGTTTGTTCCAATCATGTACAACGTTCACCAGTACTGACCTATCTACAAAAGATGTGTTGGATGTTGGAAGAACTATATCTATTGGTACATAGTGACGCGTCTGTCTAGTATTTTTGTCTCTTTTTAACGTAATTAGACTTCTCAGGTGGAAGGAGACTGATTGTGTATGATTTTTTGTATAATGTTTTTAGGATAAAAATTCGCTCGATGCCTAATCTGTCTGAAGAATTTTATTGTTTTTTAGCGATGCCGATGAGCTGAATCGCTTATCTCTTAAACTGTAATAGAAGAGACGAGAGTGCTAACGTAGATCTTAGTAGTTTTTTCTTGGACGGTGTGTTAGCTCACTTTTATCAGAAGATAAGACACTGCGTTTGCGATAAAACATGTGCAATAGATGCTCTGCTACAGTAGGGAACCTCCGTTCTTCACGATTTTTTTTTCTATCATTGGCTGGAACAAAATCAATTTCAAATCGGTTTCATTTGCTCGATGATGCTTTACATTTTATGCTGAACTGTGAGTATTTTGGTACAGTTGACTTTAATCGGTAAGTACAATAGTATGTTAGGACTGTCCATTGACGTCCGTGAAATATTCATATAGCGCACCTGCATTCTATCTCTCTTTGTTGTTGATTGTGTCACAAACGTCATTTTGGTGCATAGTAGATACAAGATTTAATGGTGAACAGGTCGTATAAGTCTATATCCTTTACTTATAATAGTTTTTCTTGCCCAAAGTGGTACAGGAGGAACGCCAACTATCCGGTTGTGGAAAAGAAATGTCACTAATACCATAGTAGATACGAACAGATTCTAGTTTTGCAATATCACGAGACAGAATTTCAACG